TTGTAAACAGTCCGTGGAATGACACTAGCCCACAGACCATGCAGTGAGTGTCAATATTGATCAAAAAAAAAAAAAAAAAAGCAAAAAAGAACACAACTTTGTATTTCATCTTGCCAACAGTTCTTTGAGAAAAATACTATCTCTATCCCATTTTGCAGGATAAAAAAAGCAGGAGGGAGTGTTGTGTGCTTCACAACATCAAGGATCCAAGCATTAGCAGGTAGTAGAACTTGGATTCAAACCAAAGCAGCCAGAGCATAGAGGAGCAAATATTTGAACCCAGGAAGGTGGACTCTAGAGCTTGTGATCCTCCCTGCATGCTTGGTTCATTTTAACGCTACCCAAAATAAGACCCGTTGGGCTTAGGTGATTAGAAGAGGGTGTCCTCAATTGCGCCTTCTAGTCAACAAATCTACCCTTCATCCACACTTACCTTCAAAGTGGATACTTTCTCCCTGTCAAAGGTCGATCAATGCCTTTACCTCTGGATTCCACCCTGCTTCCTTGGAATCTTGGTCTATCAGTCATCCCACATCTATACATTTACTTTATTCTTGAAGGACTTATTTTTATTTTTCCATCTGCATTGGAGCAATAATATAGTCCATAATTCCTTTTTTTCCTGGTTTATTTCTTTTTTGAGATACCCCTGACAAGTCCTCACCATGCCACAATCCAGCCCTGTCCCCACTCCCAGCCTGCCAGGATCACTGGTACAGGCATACCCAGCATAACTACTATTTATGGAGGAGGAGGTAATTTCCTTTGACTGACACTCACTTTTCAAGGAATGGACATTTGAGAGTTAGTTCATTCAATGACTAAACTCGGCTGACTATGGACATGGCTTCTGGGAAGGGTTTTGACTGTTGAATTCTATTAACTTTCATCTTTCCATTCTATTCTTTTGCTCTCTTTTTAGTAAAAGGTAAATTTGTTCATCAGTAATGTAATAGCAAAATTGTAGCAAGTTATTATTTTTATTTATTATTTGTTTTATTGAGCTGTGGTGTCCAGAATGTCAGTTTCCTGAGTAAAGGCATTATCTTGAAAACACTTCAGAACAGAACCAGTTGTATGATGTGACTAATACATTTAGATGCTAAATCTAACGCACCTTGGAGACTAAGGTCGTGAACACCATTAATCTTTTCAGAATTATATATGAAACAAATACTCAGGTTTAAGAAGAGCTTCTAGCATCTATAGTTAAATTCTCTGAAAAAAAAAAAAACCATGGATGTTCAATGGTTCACATAGAGACAGAGTAATCAGCCCAGCATAACTACTATTTATGGAGGAGGAGGTAATTTCCTTTGACTGACACTCACTTTTCAAGGAATGGACATTTGAGAGTTAGTTCATTCAATGACTAAACTCGGCTGACTATGGACATGGCTTCTGGGAAGGGTTTTGACTGTTGAATTCTATTAACTTTCATCTTTCCATTCTATTCTTTTGCTCTCTTTTTAGTAAAAGGTAAATTTGTTCATCAGTAATGTAATAGCAAAATTGTAGCAAGTTATTATTTTTATTTATTATTTGTTTTATTGAGCTGTGGTGTCCAGAATGTCAGTTTCCTGAGTAAAGGCATTATCTTGAAAACACTTCAGAACAGAACCAGTTGTATGATGTGACTAATACATTTAGATGCTAAATCTAACGCACCTTGGAGACTAAGGTCGTGAACACCATTAATCTTTTCAGAATTATATATGAAACAAATACTCAGGTTTAAGAAGAGCTTCTAGCATCTATAGTTAAATTCTCTGAAAAAAAAAAAAAACCATGGATGTTCAATGGTTCACATAGAGACAGAGTAATCAGATGATGTAGTTAATCAAATCACCAAAATACAAAAGAATAAGTCCAACTCACAGCTGCTTTAAATGGACTGAAGTTGTTTCTTCACAAGAAGCCAACTATTGACGGTGTTACCAAGAGCATTTAGCATTAAAATGTACACCATTCCAACTAATGGAGTTTAGAAAATAAAGAGTAGGTGGGAACTTGGGAGGTAATGGATATGTTTATACATAAATTGTGACAATAGTGTCACAGTTGCACACTTATTTCCAAAATTATCAAGCTATATACATAAAACATGCTAAAGTTTTTATATGTCAATCATGCCTCAAAAAAGTAGTTAAAAAAATCCAGGAAAATATTTTTATTTTTTGGAGAGGTTTTTACTATAGGGCGCATGCGCTCGCCAGACAGACAGAAAGCAAGAAATCATCCCCCGGGGGGGGGATGGCCATGCCGCAATCCCTTTCCTCCATTCTCCTCTTGGGATCTTGGGCATGCATGCACACACTCCTGGCATGAGTTTTAAGCCACTGGGTGTGGAACACGAACCACATGGGAGTCCAGCGACCTAGCCATTACGCCAACTGCTGGTCCCAATCCAGGAAAACCTTATAGCTCCTTATTTTTGTGCTTTTCTTGAAACTGAAGAGGAAATATGGTTAACTTTAATTGGTTAGATAAACTTTGGTTCCCACCTACCAAGAGCCTCAAATGCTGTATTTGCTGTGAGTCATAAGTCAAACCTTGAACAGACTCTTATTTTAAGAATGCGGCAAAAATTTTCCAAATGCCTATTATTCATGTATAGAGGACTGAGATACTTTTTTCCCCCAGAAAACTGAGACTTTGGAGATCCTTTTTTCTTCTTCTTTTAGAGAGGTTTTTCGTTATAGGGCGTGTGCACTCACCAGAAAGATAGACAAAAAGAGAGAAATCACCCCAGAGGGGGGGAATGGCCACGCCACAATCCTTTCTCCTCCAGTCTTCTCTTGGGATCTTGGGCACACACGCACACACGCCTGGTATGAATTTAAGTCAATGGGTCTGGGACTCAAACCGTGGTCGACTATGTGGGAGCCCAATGACACAGCCATTACACCAACTGCTGGTCCCAGATACTGGAGATTCTAAAAGAAGATTGGGGCCACCCCTGTGGCCTACTGGTTAAGGGAGCTGGATCTTACATGACAGTTTGAATCCTGGATCCAGTGGTTTGAAAACTCACTGGGTGTATGCCTCAAATCTTGACAGGATGTTAAAATGGAGAGGGGATTGTGGCACAACCATGCTCCCTTGGGGGTTGTTTTCTCTTTCTTCTCCATCGAGCACACAAACCTTTGGCAAATGAAAAGAAAAAAAGAGAAAGAAAAATAAGGCCAAGTACAAATTTCTTTTAGTTAATTCAGTTGTGAAGTATGACACATGAAAGCGGAGAAAACAGAGTCCTGTGAATAGGGAATGAACTACGTAGCCAAAATAAATCAATCAATAAAAGAACATTTTAAGCTCCCTAGAAGAGTCCCCTTTTATTTACTATCTTTATATTATCAGTACATTCCATAGTCCCCAAATTGAGCACTGTTCAGACTTTGTCCACTATGATTACAAACTTTGAATTTTATATAAATTGAATCATAAATATTCTATTGGATGAGGCTTCTTGGGAACAACCTTATGTTTTTAAAATAAATCTGAGTTATTTGTGTAGTTTTCATTTAATTTTTTAAATTTGCTATAGGGCACATTTGCGAGAAAGAGAGAAAGCAAGCCACCAGGTTCAGGACTTGAACCATTGTCAAGCATGTGGGAATCCAACGCCTTAACCATGTCACCTGCTAAACTTATTTATATGGTTTACTTACATTGGCTGCTATAGTGTATTCTGTAACCTCGTCATTCATTTTCTTCTGTCACTGACAAGCATTTCAGTTTGGGCTACTTGGCATTCTGTTTTTAGGAACATTCTCAAATATAATCTCTTGAAGTGCATGTATAGACATTAAGGAATTAATGAATTACACTGTGCAGCTTGAATTAATGCAGTTCAACAGTTTTTGAACTTCGTTTAGTTTTGTTTTGAGAAGTTTTTGCTATAGGGCACGTGTGCTCACCAGAAAGACAGAGAGACAGAAAGTGAGAAATCACCCCACGGGGGAATGGCGACACTGCAATCCCTTCCCCTCCATTCGCCCCTCAGGATCTTTGGCACGCATGCACACGCACCCAGCATGAGTTTAAGCCTCCGAGTCTGGGACTCGAACCATGGTCGACCACATGGGAGTCGAGCGACATAGCCATTATGGTAACTGCAGGTCCCAAATGCTGTTTTGATAAACCTTTTCATAGACACGGTAGTGCATGAGAGTTCTATTGCTCTCTTGGCATCAGGCTGGTAGTCTCAACCTTTTTAACTAAAGCTGTCTTAGTGGATGTTACTGGTGTCTCGTTGTGCTTTTCAGTTGTATTTCCCTGGGAACTTATGAGAGTAAGAATTTTCAAGCTACTGGTCATTTGGATATTCTCTTTTGTGAAGTGCCTTTTCAAGTCTCTTCTCCATTCCTGTAATTGGGCCTCCTGTGTGTGTGTGTGTGTGTGTCTGTGTGTGTGTGTGTGTGTGTGTGTGTGTGTGTTTCTTAATGAAAAACACATTTTGAAGAGTTCTTTACATTCTGTGGTACTGGTTCTCACAATTTAGCCTATATCAGAATTACCATTAGGGTTCGTTAAAACAGTTTATTATACTCCACCAGTGGAGTGTCTGACTCAGTAGATCTGGGGTTCTGTGCATTTCTAGTAATTCCCAGGTGATGCAATACTGCTGGTCCAGGGACCACACTTTGAGAACCAGCATTCTGCAATGTTTTTACTGTAGCAACATGAGCAGTTCTTGTTAGATTTGGACTAAGTCACCTTAAAAAACAAAAACAAACAAAATCAGAATGCTCAGTCATTCTAGTATGGGGCATCAGCTAATATTCTCCCTTCTCAGAAGAACTAAAACTAGACTTCCTTCAATAGCAAGTGTTTCAATGTGTCTGAAACCCACTATCTGCGTTGAATATTTGGTGTACCCAATTACCCGAACATATTTTGAGAATGGAAAGTATTTTGATCTCAGGAAAACTCACTGGCTTCATGAGCAAGGACATGAATCTGTAATCTCTCTAAAAACAAAAACAGAGATCTCTGAATGGAGATGAAAATGGTCATTTATTTCAGTTGAATTGAGTTTCATTTTAAAAATTCTATAATATTAAAACAGAAGTGAAATAGAAATATAAGTTTGTATGACTGCCTTTTGCTCCTAAAGAACAAATAAACATATACATATTTCAAATACTTCTAACGTTTTAACAAAACTCATGCTTACCACTGTAGCCATTTCAGATTCCTGAAATACTAACCACGACTATTAATACACGATTTACCGCATACGGTTTACTGGACCAAACATTAACCTCGTATTGAAATACAAAAAGCTGAACAGTGACTACATTCAACGTATTTTGGTAGTTGGCTGTGTGTGTGCTTTGTGCGTGTGCTTTTTAAGGCTTTCTTCTCTAAAATGTCTGTGTCTCTCAGTTGAGTCCAAAAGCCTGCGTACGAAGGCATATACGAATCCACCTATATATGTACACACATATATATTAACATCTGCAATTTGAGGGTGGTTAGACTTTGTTCAGAGAGGTCATGAGTTCACTTCCAACCACTACAGTAAAACCTTTAGGAATATGAACTTGAATAGACCGTAGTCACCATCATTAAGAAAAGCTAAAGGCCCATAGTTCAAATAAAGTACTATAGGTCCTGGGTGATATTGTGGTTTGTTGATTCACTAATCAGAAAGAAACTGCTCTCAGTGCTCAGAAGTCAAATAACCTGGATAGGCTCATGAAAGTGCACCTCCTGGGTGCACAATTGGAGTCAACGTTTGCAATGAATCTCACCAAGTCAGGAGAGCCTAGGCCTGCAATTTACAAAGGATTTCAATAAAGGCCAAACCAAATGGCTTACGGTCAATAGCCATAAGCCAGAAATCCAAATAAGAACAATACTACATATTTCAGGAACTACGGTGAGAAGTTTGAAAAGAATCACCAAAGCTGAGACACAGTTAACACACCAGAGTCGTACAGATCTGAAGAGGATGGCTGACCACACATGTGTCCCTTCTATCAAATCACCTACTAAGATCCCATTTGGAGAACACATTATTTTCTCTTCCTTCTCTTTTAGAACAGACAATACAATAATGGCAACTTCACACAGTCTTCAAGTAAACAGAATCCCTGATATAATTGGAAATTAATATGTAATTCTGGGAGCAGTAAACAAACCAACCTGTGACAACTGTGTCATATTCCTCATAGAATGAACTTCTGCTCTGGAGTCTCTTAAGGCACAAAACCTTGGTAGACGGCTTTTATTGATGGCCTGCACCTCTAATTTGAATTATTTTCTTTAAAAAAACATAACATTTAAATAAAAATAATAAACTGTTTTGCTAATAGCATAAATCATTGCATAAAGTTGGGAGAAAAATCCAAATAAACTAACATGTTGTATGTGTAACTATTTCCTGCTTGAGTAAAAAAAAGAAAAAAAGTACAACATAATTCACACTGTGCAAAAATGATTGGAAAATGCCTCCGAAAGAGACGTGATGTCTTCGTAGAATCACAATGCAGTCTCAAAAATCGTTAAGGTTGAGGGCTGTCCATTAGAAGTGTTCGTAACCACATGGCCAGTGTTAGAAATATCTGGATAATTTCTTTTGAAGTATACCTGTAAGAAACAAAAGGAAAACCACAAAGAGAACATTTTTTAAAGTGTTAAAGTTCACCTCCCTAGGGCAGGCAATGCATTGCTATATCTGCTTCTTCATGGGAAGTAAATCACTCATCGAGACAGTTAAAAAATAGGGACAGAGCTAGCAGGTGGTGTGGTGGTTAAGGCACTGGATTCCCAAAGCTAACCATGGTTCAAGTCTCCGATTCCCGGCCTAAAAAACATACTGGGCATGTGTGCATGCATGCCCAAAATACTGAGAGGAAAACAGAGTAGAAGGGATCGCAGCATGGCCATTCCTCCCGAGAGAGTGATTTCTCACTTTCCCTCTCTCTGTCTCTCTTCAGTGAGCACATGTGTCCGATGGCAAAACCTACTAAAATAATAATAATAATAATAATAATGGGATGTATGTATTCTATGGAAGAATTGGCCCTACTGAAACCTTCAACAAGGCTGGGGTCAATGCCAAACAACCTATAGAGCCACTTTAGTTCTGATCACTCTGATTCATAGATATGTTTTATCGCTACATTAAATTGATAAGCAAAATCATTTTACTGACTCAAAACCCAGAGATAAATTAAAAATGGGGGGAAAAAGAGGCTGGGAAATCTAGCGTCTGCACGAGGGTTTCTCATTTTCACACATAAAATGAGCACAATAGATTTGGATGTTAATATCAAGCTGTAATCCCTATATTTTATAAACTCTGATTGACAAGCATTGAAATGCTGGCGTATATGTATGAAACATCCTGGCGTTTAATTTGTGCAGCAAAGCAGTTATAGGGTCTATAGAAATGTGATCTGGGGATAGTGGGCCACAATAATGAAAAGAAAAGCAAAAGCTTTCACAATGACTCTACCAAGCAACTTCTCTAAAATGTAAGATGATACCAAATAATAGGACAGTTCTTTGCCAGGCCTTTGAGTTTCTGAATTCTACCAATTTTGAGCTGAACTAGACGAGATACAGGTTTTCTGATAAATGTATAATCAGAACATAAAGGAAATGAAATGCTGTCAAGTTTCTCTGTTCCACAATCATCAGTTTTTAGGAGCTGTATCATATCTCGGTTCCTTGACAGATGCGCATAACAAAATGAAATAATGTCAAGACTTGTGAGCTCTTATCTCAGAATGTGTTTGGGTGAAAAAGGACTTCAAATGTAATTTTTTTTTCCTCCAAAGAAGAATGTGAAAAGTTTTGTTTGAGTCTTTAAAACAGAAAAATGTACCATCTGTCTGAGGCTGACACGTGTCATGAACTGGGTCTCTTAGTCATACCATTCTGGATCTACTTTACAAAACCTGGCTCCAAATATATTTGTGGGTGCTGTCAACCAAATTATCACTGCAGATAATGGACTCCACATACAAAAAGAAAAGTGCGTAGACACCTGCCTACATATTAAGTGTACTTTCTCTTTCCGTCATTGTTGCCATACCTGCTCTAAAAACATCGTCACATAAACACTGTGCTTAACATGTCACTTAAAGAGAAAAATAAATCCCCAATAATGCTTGGACTGTACTAGACAAAATCTGAAACGATTTCCATTATAATGCAAGTTTTCAAAATAAGACCTTTTGGGTAGGGATAATTTCCTATCATCTTCTTCTCTTATTTTTTTTTTTATTACCAGAGGGTATATGTGCTTTTCAAAGACAAAAGGAGAGAGAAAGCATCCTGCAATAGGGCGTAGTCACACTGCATGTACTTCACTTTTGGCCACACGTGTATGTATCTGGCGTGCTTTTCAAGCCACCAGTGCTAGGATTTGAACCATAGTAGGACATGTAAGACCCAGTTCCCTTAAACAGTAGGCTAGAGGGCTTATTCATTCCTCTTACTTTGTAAAAGCTAGCTAAGTTTTATGTGGTTATATCTGTGTACTCTAAAAAAGCTATTTCTTGGTGAAACTGGAAACAGCCAAAAGAACAAATGGAAATACAATTCACCTTCTATTGCTTGATAGTCCACCCCAAATAAGCTGGTTCCTTCCTCTGAACCCTCTCGATGTAATTTATACACACACACACACACACACACACACATACACGCATACACACAATATATATTCATACACATACAAATATACACATGTATATGTATATATTTATAAAACATATATACATATGTGTGTGTGTTCTTAATAGCAATTTTTAACTAAAATGGGATTAAGTTCTTGTTCTGAAATATTTTACTGAAAACAAGCTTCTTGTGTATCTTGTGTATAAAATCCTTGATTTGAGCTTCCTTCTCTCATCTCTTACTATGTTTTATAATATATTGAGGATAACAGCAGAAGTGAGATAAAGCCATCTTTTTTACAGTGCAGGTGATGAAGAGAGCAGAGATTACTGAACACTCTTTGGTGGGGTCCTTGGGTCATAGGCAAAGCATGGGATGGAGCGGTTCGGTCTCAGCAATCTCTCCTGGCACTTATTGCTGATCCTAGAAAAACTACTTAACCTCTCTCTCCATACTGGCTGCCTCATCTGTAAAACGAGATAACAATGACTTACCTCACAGGAACTAATTAATGGCTACAAACTGCAGGTTGAAAACATGCCGAGTTAAGTGTTGGGTGTGATTATGAATGCTTCTCAGAGAAGCAGTCCCTCAGTGCATGAAAAGTAGCAGCATCACCAGGCTTGAAAAATGAAAACAAAACATCTAGCATTCCCCTTTAGGATCTTTTGATGTTATCTTTACAGAATTCCAGATTCCTAGTTCAGACATCTTAAATTGAGCAACTATGGGTCCCCAGAATACAGAAAGTTACCATTAGAAAATTCCAGAAGTTCGAGTACCAACACTCACTAACTGGTGACTTCGTAATGTCACTTAGGCTCTTCTACCTCAGCTTCATGTGTCAACAAAGGATAATAATGCTGGATCAGAACAGATTGTGAAGATTAAAGATGACAATACCATAAAAGTTCACATTTAGGACACACAGAATATAAGACCAGTGAGTAGTGAATTTCTTGTCCCTCTGCTTCTCATCTTGGGTTTGGTTCATTACAGTCCCTCGAATATAGGCTAAAACTAAATTTACTATTTAAATTTCAGCTTGCCAGTAAAGCCACCAAAATAAGATCAGATCTTATTAAAAGCTCTTCTGCATGGATGAAGAATAGCTGGGCATTTATTTATACTGTATTTGGAAGACATCATTCAATGGGTTGAGTTCTGGCTCAAGACTCTAAGTTCATTTTCACTGAACTGTGTAGCCCTAATTCAATCATAGTAATGCTCAAGACTTTGAATTTATCTTTAAAGTACAACTACCTTGGGTTACATAAATGGCATGCATTTTGTCAAGGTCAAAGAGTACTGGAGACTTAGAAAGGACTTCTGAGTTTAGGATAACAGAATAATGGATTTTGTTGCCCCTTATCCTCTCAGAAATTATCCTGAATAGCTGAGAGATTGAGAAAAAAAAATAGCTTAATCTTTGATGATGTAAGAAGTTATCTAAAACACTGAATGACAAAATATCTGGAAGAGCTGCCACCTGTCACTGTAACCAATGGGGAGGAGGAGGCAGGGAGATGATACCTTGGAAAGCATGTCTCAGCAACCAGGAGAGAGCTGAGATGTCTCAAGGAATCACAGAAGAAACACCTTTCCCTAACATTGGGGAGGCCTATATGGGATTCTGTATGAAACTAACACATTTTCCATGAGTCTTCCTCTCTCTCTCTCTCTCTCTCTTTAGGTCATAAAGGGCTTTTATGTTAAGCAGGGAGAATTCCCTTTGGCCTACCCAAATTATCCTGCAGCTATACGGTCTAGGGGAAACTCATTTTCTTTCAAAGTAAAGGGTAGGAATAAAATAATAATTGAGGTAATACAGGATCTGTAAAATATTCAAACACAAAGTAAAGAAAATGAAAAAGATAAACACATGACAGATGAAGAATACTTGCTGAACACATGAAAATGATGAAAAGGCATGTAAAACATTCAAAGAAAATGTAGCAGAAAAATCAACCCATGCATAACAGAGATACAAGAATACAGGAAAACATGACAGAGCAATAGAAGATGCTAAAATGGGAGTCGATAATTGTCAAAAATGCAATTGAAGAGAAAAATGAAAATATCAAAGAAATGACAGTTCTACTGAAGGCAGTGTAAAGTAGATTAGTCACTGCTGAACAAACAGTGTAAGACATGAAAGACAGAAATAAATTACCAAGCAAAATAATCGGAAATTAGTAAAGGCTTAAAAAGGATTGAGGATAAACAAAGGGCATATAAAATATACATAACAGTTATTCATAAAGAGAACAATGCGGGACCAGTAGATGAAATAGCAATTTTGTTGCTGGACTCCCACTGAGTGGACTGCAGTTCCAGTCTCAGACCTGATTGCTTAAAACACGCCAGGAACGTGTGCATGCATGCCCCAAATCCTGAATCTAAAGAGAATGAAGGAAAAGGACTGCAGCATGGCCTCCCCCCAGGAGGTGATTTCTCACTTTCTGTCTCTCTGTGCACTCGCAAGTGCCCTCTAGCAAAAATCCTCCAAAAAGGAAAAAAAAAAAAAAAAAAAAAAAAAAAGAGGAGGGGAATGATACAATTAAATTAAATTTAAAAATTCAAAGATATAATCCAATAAACTTTCAGAAACAAAAGATGTCCATCTAAAATCCAAAAGTGTACACAGTGATGTCCTAGGAAAAACCGATGACCTTCAAAATAAAGACTCCTTTGGACATCTAAGAAAAAAGATCAAGTTATGCCTAATGTGCCCCTGACTTTTCCATATGAATAGGCGATTCTAGAAGACCCCAGAGAAAAGATGACAACACACTAAATGAACCAGAATTTTATAATCACCAAATTTAAATGAGAAGCACAAGACAAATATTTAAGATATGTAATAAGCCAGGGATTCTATTAATAGCTCGTATAGGATACTGTTTTGCAACCTTTCTTTTTGTGTCATCCATAAATATACATTTTATACTGAGACTCAA